ACCAAGAATTCGATCATGAGTAAGGCATTTCTTACCTCTTTTGGAAGTGTTTCGTGGGAATAATGTGCATGTATGGTGGGTATGGGGAAGTGAGACCTGGGAATGTTAAAGCATCCTTGAATGGTTGGTGTTTGCAGACTTTGTTCTAGTAGTGAAATGGAGGTCAATGAATTTGGCCCCCTCTAGAAGTGGCAGATTCTGATGGATGCTATTCATACGAACTTGCTAAAACTTGGCATTGTGCGAACTGTTTGGCATTTGCTCTAAGAAATGTCTTCCTTTTGGTTTAGGGAAGCTGTACGGAGATCATGATTTCTTGGAAGAGAGACATAGACACAGATTTGAGGTAAAAACACTGTTGTAGGTGTTGAGCTTTTCTGTGTAATCCAAACACGATCTTGGGTTTTCTTGCTTCTGGTCTTCTAGGTCAATCCAGAACTGAAAAAGTGTTTTGAAGAGCAAGGTTTGAAGTTTGTAGGCCAGGATGAGGAGGGAGAGCGAATGGAAGTGGTTGAGTTGGAAGGTGAGTACTTAAGCAATTAGTTTGTGGGTGAGGTATTTACAAGGGAAAGTGTTCGGAGGGTAACTGAGGAGGTTTTTGTGTGGGACCAGTCCAGGCTCTCTCAGAATTATTCCATCCATAAAATTACACTAAAAAAAGAATCCCATGTGCCTGTCCATTTAGGGACAAAAGGCAGGATAGAAATGACACTTCTTCCGCATCATCAGCGCTTCAACGTGATCAGTGCTTTCAACTGCAGTTCAGCCACAGGCTTAAGCACCTTGACATTAATGTTTTCTGTTTCTTTCTCTTAGAGCATCCTTTCTTCGTTGGTGTTCAGTATCACCCTGAATTCCTCTCTAGACCAATTAAGCCATCTCCCCCATACTTTGGCCTCCTCTTGGCATCTGCAGGAAGACTCACGCATTACCTACAAAAGGGCTGCAGGCTCTCACCCAGGTAGGTTGAAGGAAGACACCAGTCAGACCTTTCACAGGGCAGTGCTTCTTCCTACAGGATAAACCAGAGAATCCTCTTGGCACAAAGTTACTGTGGAGTAACTAGGGGGTATTTGTGGCACCTCTTCTTTCCAATCTTTCTTTGAAACCTCTTGTCTTGCATTTTAAGATTGACTGTAGTGCCATAGAGCTGTCCCACAGGGAGAGTAACTGCAGTCTTGTGTTGTCAGTCAGAGGTGTTTGGGGAACCACAGCTGGGCCTGCTCTTTTAGGTGACTGGAGACCTCATGGGTTTTCCCCACATCTCTTGTACAAGTCCTAGGTACAAGTTGGTCCGTACGTAACTTGTTGCTGGTTTAAAGAATGGGCCCTGGTGGTTGCAGCTTCAATTTTTTTTTCCCTGCTAACTTAAGCTTTCCTTTGTCTCAGTTTGCAAAGCAACTAATGTTTTGGGTAGACTTGATGGTACATTTACTTCCTTCTGCTGCTCTCTAACACCCTGCAGTTCTGCTCAGCAGTTGTGGCAATATGCAACAGATAAACATCACTTTCATAGTGACCCATTTTCTTCCTTATAGGGGAGAACACAGAGGATTTGCTTGTGTAGCTGGAGTGCTAACATGCACTAAACAAAAAAACCCAAACTAAATGCAAAAGAGAATAGCACTGACTGTATTAAACTAAAGCAATGCAAAAAGGAAAGTATTGGCCTTTCTGGGTTGAGCTGCAATGCAGCTGCACCACAGGAATTCCTGTGTCGATGTCTGGAGAACAGCTGTCAGTTGTGCTCTGACCGATCTGCTCTGAAGAGAGTTTCTGTGTGAAGATGCCTCATTTCAATGCTCCAAGTGTTGAGGGATATTTTAATTTCCTGCTTCTGCACATTTGAGTTTGAAATGGCTTTTCACAGCAGAGGAGCTGAAGTTTTCTCTCTACTGCAGCATCCTAAGTTAGTATTATCTGCTGTTGGAGTCTTTTGTGATAGTGGTCACAAATTATTTCGTGTTTACCATATAATCTAAAAATATTGGTGGCAGTTGTAGCCCAGCCTGTGCTCCCCTTTATTCCTGTGCCCTTGTAAGTCTTATCACGTTTTCAGGTAAGTCTCATCATCGCACTCTCGTGAGGTTTGCAGGTGACACCAAACTGGGGGGAACAGACTGTACACTTGAGGATGGGACCACTGTTCGTAGGGACAGGGGCTGGAGCAGTGGGCCAGCAGGAACATGGTGAGGTTTAACAAGGACAAACGCAGAGTCCTGCATCTAGGAACCCCTTGCAATGACACAGGCTGGGGACTGAGCAGCTGGGGAGCAGCTCTGCTGACGAGGTCTGGGGGAACAGCAAACTGAACGTGAACCAGCAGTGTGCGCTGGCAGCAAAGGAAAGATGAACAGCATCCTGGGCTGTATGAGTAAGAGCACAGCCAGCAGATGGAGAGAAGTGATTACGTCTCTTTACTTGGCATTTGTTAGAATATTCTGTGTGGTTTGGGGTCGCCCAGTACAAGTGAAACATCGATAAACTGGGGAGAGTTTAGTGGAGGGCCACTGATAAGGTCAGGAGGTCGGAGTACTTGCCCAGTGAGGAGGGGCTGAAGGAGCTGGGCTTGCTCAGCCTGGAGAAGGGAAGACTTTATGGGGGACCTAAGAGCAGCTTGCCAGCACCTACAAAAATGTTATCAAGAAGATGAGAACAGGCTCTTTACAGCAGTGCATGGTGGGAGGATGAGACACAATGGACATAAATTGAAATAAGAGAGGTTCTGACTGGATATAAGGAAAATCTTTTTCACCGTTAGATCAGTCACGCATTGGTGCACGTTGCCCAGAAAGGCTGCGCAGTCGCCGTCCTTGGAGAATTTCGGAATGTGAGTGGATAAAGCCCTGAGCAGCCGTGTCTGATCTGATAGCTGTCCCTGCAGTCCCTTCCGATACCTGAATTATTTTGTGGTTCTGAAAAAGCTGTTTAATGGATTAAAGGCAATCAGCTGTCACTGGGAAGCTGAAATAGAATGGCTTACGGGTGGTTAACCGGTCTCCTATTTCCTATTTATCGAATTTCCTGTAGAATAACTTTGCCTTATAAAATGCCTGTTATTATGTATAATCATTTTAATTCACAAACCTTGACATTGGTGATGACTCAGCCCTATTTCCAAAGGGACAGCTATACTAGGAATTTTGTGTGCTTTGCTTTTCAACCTCAGCTAGCAGTACTTACTACCAAACCATACTAATTCCTGATGCAAAACTAGGTCTATAAAGCACTTGTGCTCCATAAAACAAAATCTTTCTGAATTCTGCAGGGACACCTACAGCGATAGAAGTGGCAGCAGCTCGCCTGACTTGGAGATAACAGAGCTGAAGTTTCCATCAGTAAATCACGACTGATTCCTGGTAACTTTTAATGACCTCAACCTCTTTCCTCATGGAAAAAATTCCTTGCCCAGTCTTTCCTCCTGGCATCTGAATGTTTCACATCAGTTGGTAGAGAACTGGCACACCGTGAAAAGTGCGGGTGCTCACACGTGTTCCAGCTGTGCTGCGGGATGCATAATGCCTCATGTCTGTGTAACAGATGTGGGTGGGTATTTCCTTAGCAAATTGACACACAATAAAGTATGAAAATACGTGTGGGAGTTTGAGATTAAATTGAAATAAAGAAACAAAGCACAAATACGACACACATTCCTGAAAATGGAGGCAAAGCTGAGCAAGGGGTTACTGGATTTAGAAAGTTTGGTATTTTAGGAGCAATCTCTCACCTTTGCCAGAGGACATTTTTGAAATAGCCATTCTCCCCCATCTCTTGAGACAGCAAGTTTCTCTGTCAAACCAGTGGGCTTGAGCTCTGAATTGTAATAGCTGCTGCAGATGTTAACGTGGATGCGAAAATTGCATGTATATAATCCAGTCTTGGAGAGGGCTCACTAAAACCTAGCATTCAAACTTCACCAGCAAAAAAGGTAGACTTAGTATCGAAATGAGTCCTTCCTTTGTGCGGTAGGTGATCGTGGACGTAACGCTCTTTCCCACTGCTCTGGCCGGTGTGTGTTTAGAGAAGTTAAGCAGCATTTGTGCACTTGCATGTCGAGTGAGAGCGGGGGTTTATTGCTGAATGCCAGGGGACCCAAGGATGTCCAACTCTTCCTTCCCCTTTCCTTCGTATAACAGATGCTTCCAAAATTAACTGCAGAGTGAAAACGAGGCTTAGCCCGAGCCTAGCACAGAAGTACTTCCCCATCCCTGGTCATGGGACCAGGTGATGACTGGGCCTGTGCAGGGCTGAAGATGGCTGGGATCGCTAGGTGTTGGGTTGTTCCAGACGTGGTACGGTAGCAAACTAAAAGCTGAAGAATCCTATCTGTAAATTTTTATCCTCCTGAAGATATTCCGAACCTTTGGCTCGCTGGCAGTACCAGTGTGTTCACTAAGTGACAAGTCTGGGTGCTGTGTTGATACCCGACGGCTTGGAGGCCATCCCCAAATGAAGAAGTTGTAGGGAAGGTGACGCTGGCATGCGTGGTGTGTCCCCTGTCCGGCTGACTGGCCTGCTGGTACTCGTCTCGGCTCAACTCTCTCTTAATAGCTGCAACATAATGAAGATTTTCCTTTGGTACCGGCCACGGGCAGCGCTGGGAAGGGCAGGAAGTTAATTCTTAGCTTAACAGTGCTCACTCCCTACATTTTATTTAAACATCGACGTCTAGAATGAGCTTGCTTTCTTAGGGGTGTAATACGCTGGTCTTAATGTTGCCATAGTGCCCCTGTAAAACTCACAGACATCTTTTATCCTGGGAAGAGGAGTGTTGTCAGGTCCCGTGTGTTATGTTTGTCTGGGGTGACGTATGTAAGACTCGGACTTCAGTGTGCTGTGCAGTTCCCGCCTGTTCCTCTTCACTGTCAATAATTCCTGCTCCTTTTCTTTCTCTCTTTCTCCAGATGCGTCTTTGCTGAAGAGAAGAGTCTTCATTAGATTTTCCAGGCATTCTTACAGCAATAGCTTGAACACTGTCAGCTTTGGGCTTTCTTAAGTTATGGTTTTATAATTTTCGTTACGAAATCCTGCCCCTTTACTTCCTCAACTCTTCTGTCCTGCGTTTATTTTCTGTGTAGATTCTGTTTATTTCTGGAGGAGAGCTCATCACAGCACACGCACCTCTAGACTTCTTTCAGTTAGCACCATCTTGGAGATGAAAAGCAAATTCGGGTATGGGATTTGATGAGTTGGGGAGAATCCAGGTGCACGCTTCCTTCCTAATGCATGGTAACGTCTATATCTTGGACACTGACAGTCGAGTTGCTTTCTCCAGCCTTTCTGCTCCCTCAGCAGTCTTTATTACTTACTGGTGAAATTATGTGGATGAACTAGATTTTGGGGGCTCACTCAGTTCTTGAGCTGTGCTGTGCTGCAGAGGATGGGTCTGTTCAGCTTTACGCAGTCTTTTTTTTTTTTTTTTTGTTTTTTTTGTTGGGGGGGGGGGGAGGGGGAATGTTTTGTTCTGTTTGTTTTTTTTTCAATAGTATTTAAAAACGTTTGGCACTGGTGGTCTTGGTGCATTCATTGCCGGCAATGAACTTTTAACCAGGAAAATCCTCCTGGAATAGAAGAGTCAATCTGGAACGTGATCAGCTGTAACTGTGATATGCCACTCTGCAGGGATGCGATTAACTTGGATCATGTGGGGGAAAAAAAGAAAAAAAAAGAAAAAAAAAAAGCAAAACTGTCGGGAAAGCCCATTGTTGCCTGAAACGAGGCGTAACTGTTAGCCCTTTCTATGCCAGCGTTTGCTGGTGCTGCTTCTTGGGCTGGGAAATTTCAACTCCTTGCATCAAGGGGGAGGTACAGAAGAGAAAGTGAACTACTTTCAGATGCTGCCTTTAGAAGCTCCCGTTGTGATTTGCCTTGGACTGAACAGTTCATGGTGCTTTTTTTCGTTGATCGGAAGTGGAGCCTTCCGTTGCCTTCATTCATTCGGCGGAGCCGCGCGTCCCGCCCTCGATGCAATACAGAAGTGCTGCTTCCTGAGGCAGGGGCTTCGCGATTTGCCTACAGTGTTACTCGGTTTAGTCCGTAGATGTGCGCTGCCCTACGATGACGAGCTCAGCTTTGCAGTTCTGGGGTGGGAAATGCACTTGCTTCCCCCCCCTTCCCCCCCTCCCCCCCGCTGCAGTGTAAGCGACACAGTTTTTGGTCTTTGGTAATTTTGAAGAAAGGAAGAAAGTGTCTCAGTTGTCTGAAGTGTCGTATGCTCAGAACTCTTCAGTTCATTAAAGGTTGGAGAAAGCTGTACGTCTCGAGCCTGGCTGAGTACTGACTCCCGTGTTGTCTGATGCCAAACTTGATTAAGCGCTGTCCTGTCTCATCTCAAGTGATCTTTTCCACAGCCCCTCTCGCTTTATTCCTCAGTTATTTTAAATATATGCTGTAAAGCTGCTTTTAGCCCAGAAAGCTTTGAGCATTCTTCGTCTGTGCCAATTACAACAGTCCTGCAAAAACGGTCAGCCGAGTCGAGATGCTCTCTGTACTGAGCAGACACTGGCCGTGAAATGGCTGGTCCTCTGGCAGTGTGAGATCACTCCTTATCTGCAGCACAACTTTGTTTTCTTTCTCCTGAAATGTTTTCGTTTTGGCCAAAACTGTGCAACTGGCTCGGTCACTAAATGCTTGTTTGTAATAAAATGCGTACCTAGCCAAGAGCTTGCTCTATTACTTCCATAGCTCAGAGGGAGGAAAAGGACTGAATTACTGTCTAATTTTAAGTTAATCCGGTGTAAGCTAGAAAGAGTTTGTTAGCCGTATTTGCAGCGATTTTGCGACATGTATTTCCAAAGTCTGGCTGAAATTACGGGGCTTCCCCCCAGCAGTGGAGAAACCAGCCTCTGCAGGGCAGAAAAATGACAGTTTTTAATTGAGTTGTGCTGCAAGCTGCCTGTGGGATGGTTTGCTCCCTCCTCTTCCACAGGGGGGAGAGCCGCTTGCCTGGTGCCCACCGTGGGGGGTAGGAACGCGCTGATGGCCAGAGCCCTGTCTTCGGGCTGCGTGGTCGCGTGGGGCTGTCGGCCCCCGCCGCTTGCTGCGCTCCCCTCGGGAGCAGCGTGGGCCTCGCCTCAGCTGTGGGTTAAATAACAGCTTCCCCCCCTGCCCAAAGCTGCCCTGGGGACAAGTGGCCCGGGGCCACCCTCGCCTGGGTGCGAGGCCCACAGCGCCCTGCGGCTGCCGACGGCTGCCCTTGGGCAGCA